GTTTTTTTTTTTTTTTTTTTTTTNTNTTTTAAAGCATTTTCTTGAGATTCGAGAAAATGGCGGATTCTACGAAGAAAAGTTTAACTTCTACTTCGGCCAGCAAGTCAACTTTTGATCTCGCTAGTATAATTTTTGAAAAAGATAAAAGCAGAAAGTCTGTAAAAGGGACTGATAGTTTTAAAACTAGCATTAAATCAATATTAGATCAATACAGAAATTTGGGGGCATCTGAAAAAGGAAACCCAATTCAAAGACATTGACTCTTCAAATTGAGTGGAAAATTGATAAAATGTTCATATGCTGTTATGAGCTTAGTAGAACTGTTATTAAAATCTAAGAAACAGGACAAAAAGTCAGATGATAAAGACAGTAGTCTGTCTTCTGGGATTAAGGCTGGAATGGATGCTCTTTCATTACTTGGCCATATAGTGCAGGATCATAATCAGATTAGACGTGATAGTTTAAAGGTAGACTTAAATCTACAATATAAAAAATTGTGCAATCCTTCTCATAATACTGATACTGGATCAAGTAAATGGTTGTTTGGTGATGAACTTGGTAAACGTGTAAAAGACATAAAAGAAACAAATCAAGTTGGTTCATCAGTGGCCAGTGGAAGCCGTCTATATAAAAGCGTTTCAAGATTTAATTCTAGATCCAAGCCTTTTTTATCACAAGGCAACAGTCACTACAAGCGACCTCCACAAAATCAAAGTCAGTACAGGTTCTCGAACAAGAAGTACAGTTCTCATCAGAGAAGCAGTTACAATCAGAACAAGAAAAATCAGTCAGAGAAAAAATAGATTTGTTTGAATCGGTGAGTAATTTAGAATCTCTAACTTCTTGGGAAGAATTTCGCAGTCAGTTAGATGAAAAGTTACTAAAATTGATGAACAATTTTACTGCTGGCGAATTTAAATTTCATTTGGAAGTCATTGACTTCCGATGTTCACATACTTAAAATAGTGTGCGGCATTGATATGGAGATAAATTCAGATTTTGAAAATCAGAGCATGATACCCATTCCATATATATTGTCTAAGGAAAAGAATGCTGCAGTGCCAGATGAAATTAAAAAATTATTATTAAAACAAATCATTGAAAGGGCAAGTCCTGAAGAAGGCCAATATATATCAAA